CTGTTGATTTATATACTTCGTATTTATATTTTAAATATAGAAAATTTACTTTCCCACATGAGACTCGCGGTGCATTCAGAATTCAGAGATTCCATGATTTCTTATTCGCGTTTTTTGTCTATTTTTTTCTCATTATTTTATTTTATTTAACTATTATTGTTATTATTTTATATATATATATATATATATATATATTTTACTCCCCCGTCTCTCTCATCCTGCAGAGCCCTCCTTTTATAGAGACCAAAGCGCCTCTCTCCTCTCAATCCGCACATCCTTCTCTTTCTCTCTTCATCTCTATTCACCAATTATCAGAATCTTTCAACCAGAAAAAGCGAAGTTTATAGCTATATACATACATAGAGAAGGGGAGAGAGAGAGAGATGGGATTGCAAAACCAGCTAAACGACGTCGCTTCTGATTCGATTCCTCTGCTTTTCTTGGCTCTCGTCGCCGATTGCCTCCACCAGCTCCGCTCCTTCCTTATCACCCTCTTTCAATCGCTCGGACTTTCCAGATTCGACCCAAACCCAGTCGTTGTTGATGATGGATTTTTCGCCGCCGTCGGATCGGGCCTTGCCAGCTTAATCGTCCTTTCCGAGCAGCTCAATCTTAATCGCCGTGTATCTTACAGATACTCCATCGTAGGTGGCGGCGATGATGGTCCTGCCGGCGTTATTGGATCTCCCAAGTGTGTGGTGTGCCAGAGCTCGTTTGAAGATGGGGACCAAGTTCGACGGCTTCCGTGCCGTCATGTTTTTCACCGATGCTGCTTTGATGGCTGGCTGGACCACCTCAATTTTAACTGCCCTCTCTGTCGGACACCGCTGGTGTCCGACGAGCGCGTGACCCTTGCTGAGCGGCGCGTTGGTCCGGAGCTTGTTTCCTGGTTCTCTTGCCGATGAAGCGACGTCGTTGTGTTGCATGATTGGGGACGGCGACGGTAGCTGCGAATTTTACCTTCCTTTTTTTTCATCTGCGGTTGTTTTATCAGAATATTAGGGCAGTTTTGTCTTTTTCCTTCTTAGAATTTAATTATGTTTATTAGGTTTTTATTTTTTTTCCCGTATTTATGGTTTTTTTTTTTTTAAGAACCCTGGCGGTGATATCACAGGGTTTTTTGCCGTGAGCTGCTGTAAATTATAGGCCTTATGTTAGTAAGTGACGAAATTATGAAGCATGTGCCATTACTAATGTTAAAAAGGAAAACCAGCTGAATTTTCTTTAAAATGAATTAAGTGATCGGTATTGTAAGATTTAAGAAATTCAAACAGCACATCCAAAAAGTGGATCATAAATTAAAATTTAGATCATAAATTAAAATTTAGTGTTCTTAGTAAAGCAAGTTCTATTAATTTTGGACATTTCTTTTGGAGTAAAACTTGTTTAAAAAAAAAAAAGGCCAACTTTGGCTAAAAAACATTAACTGCTCTCTGTTAATCACTTAGTGGAACAAATAAATTTTTGTGGGTTTTTGCATCCTTAATTAGAAAAGTGTTGTTGAGATTTACCGGTAGTTTAATTCATTACTGGATAGATAGAGACAAGAAAGATAATTAATAGATGTAGAGTACATAATGGAGCAATAATTGTGAAATAGAATAAGATAAAGATGAACTACCATAGGAAAGAATAAGGTGAAGATAAGGAAAAAAAGGAAGTGCAAGTAATGCCAATGACAAGACATCATTGTGATTTTGATACTTCACATTAAATAAATGAGAACTAATCACAAAGAGAGAGAATGATACCCAACTACCACTGAAGGGGATATATATATATATATATATATATATATAATCATTAACTTGTATGCTTTCTAAATGAATAGTTGAATACTGCTTTTTGACTTTATTTATAGAACTTTCAAGGTTCAATTAATATTTTTATTGAATTTTTGTCAAATAATAAGATAATTTTTTTTAAAAATACATAAAATGATTGTCATGTACTAAATAGGTAATAAGAATACTATGAGATGTAGATCTCTCGGCATATTTAAAAAAAAAAAAGGGAGAGATAAAATATCATCTTTCAATGTTTATTTATCAATTATTAGTGTGACTTTGCTATCAAAAGTTTATCTACCATTGTTTATTACAATGATTTTTTTTAATTGTGTTTCTTTTTTTTCTTGGTGAAATTAATTATGTGTTTCTTTAATAGATGAGAAATAATATAAGTTTAAGAATTGAAGTAAAATAAAATGGCCACTAAATCTCAAGTGGAAAGAAAAAAGTACTTTCTAGTTTGAGAGGTCAAATATGAACAGGTAAAGTGAAGTAACTTTAAAGTTGGGAACTAGGATGGGACAAGCTATTTTGCCAAAACCAAAAAACAAAGGGATAGTACAAGCTATACATAATACTCTCTCCGTTCTTTATTATAAGAGACATTTGATGTTTATGGCATGTTCTTATATATAAGAGATACTTAAAAGTTGTCTCTACTTTTTTGTGTTGATTTCCTATTTTACCCATATTTATTGTCACCAACTCACACTCTCTCTCCATCTCACTTCTCTTTCTTTTTTTAATAATTTAATTGTTCTCTTCATGCTCTCTCCTTATTAATGAGGGCATTTTTAGAAAAAAATTATACTTTTTACACATTAATTGTTCTTAACTAATTTTAATTATTTTTTTTATCAACGTACTTCTGTTATTTGTCTTTTATAATAAGAAACGGAGGGAGTATAGATGAAGATGAGGGTAGCCCAAGCTAGATCACATCTAGCAATTTGGGAGGCGGCTGCTCTCCTTTTCCCTTACCATCCGCTGCCCTCCTCGGCCTTAAAAGCTGCGGCGTTTTGAGTGAAAACAAGAGAGGGAGAAGCCTTTTTTTTTTAATTTAAAAAATATATCTATTATCTTAAAATATTTTTTTCAGTGTCATTGCCTATCCTAAATTAACCGTTAATGCACTCAGTAAGGTAAAATATTTTTTTAATAGCACCCAATATTTAATAACCAGCATTTTAAGATGTTTCTTAATAGCACTTAGTATTGTAAAATAATTTTTGGTCCACTTAGCGGGCTAAAATATTTTTTTCAGTAACGCCTATACAACAGCCAACATGGTGCGGTGTTTTACTAGTACTACCAAGTATCTAGAACTAGATTTTAGTGACCATAAAATATTATATGAAAAATTACTTTAAGATATATTAAAAATTAATTTATGATATTGGATGTTATTAGAAAAATACTTTAATATGATGGATGTCAGATACTGGATATTAAATTTTTACAACATTGAGAGTTAGATGTTGAGTACTATTAGAAAAACATTATAGAGTGATAAATGTATTAAAAATTAATTTGGGATACTTAAAGATACTGAAAAAATATTTTAGAGTACTAAATTTTTTTTTTTAATAGAAAAGCACTCACTCTCTCTTGTTTTTCACTCAAAACGCTGCAACTTTGAGGGCAGAGGAGGGCAGCGGATGGTAAGGGAAAAGGAGAGCAGCCGCGTCCAGCAAAGAGTTTGGGGTTTTGACGCATTAACTAATCCAATTTAATAAAATTGATCTAACCTTTCAGAAAATACATAACCACTTGAAGGAATAAATTATTTTTAAAGTAAAAGAGTAATTTTAATCTACCAATTTTATATAAAGCTTCTGTTTTATCCCTTGATTTTACAAAACATTTCTTAGTTTTCTTATTCTTACACCATTAGCTTTAAATGACAATTTTTATACTAGTTTTTAAGAAACACTTAGAATATTTTGTTAATATTTAAAATTCACAATGTTGACATTTTTTAATAAAATAATAGTATTAGGATTAAAGGATTGTGAAATTAGGATTAAAGGATTAAAAATTTATTTTTGGCTTTCCTGATTTGAGATTTTCAAATTCAACTGGTTTTTTTTTTAAATTTCTCTTCAAAATTTACTATCTGTTTACCGTAAAATATATGCTGCAAGTTACAGAAATAAGATGTGGATTAAATTTTATGTCTTTTATTAGAACTGAGAGAAATATCATTTAAAGAATTTCAAATTGTCAATGTGACTCACAATCATGCAAAAGGAATAACGAAATGCCCTTGAGTTTATCTCTCAAAAATACAAAAAATCTAATGTTAGGTTTCTAAATGCTAGCCATTAGTCAACGACGATGAAAATATTTTTCATTTAATTATTTTTTAAGATCAAACTTAAATGTCTTTAATTAAACCTCCGTTTATCAAGCAGCCCACCAACTCTAAATGAGGCATTCCTATTCTATTTTATAAGATACTTCCCCACATAAGATATAATTTTTTAAATGGGTTTGTCTCTTTTTACAAGATTTTTTTAAATTTGTCTGAACATTTAATGTAATATTATCTGTTTTACTCTTAATTTAATATATTTAATACATTCTCTTTTTTATTTATCTTACTATTATTCTCACACAGTTATATTTATATATGAGGCATATTTGAAAAAAAAACTGTATTTGCTACATATTAATTATTTTTAACTAATTTTAACCGTTTTTTTAAAACCGCACAATTTAGTTAAAAGGATCTTATAATAAAAAACAGAATAGTAAGACACTTCTTTCAATCCTATTTATTTGTAATGCTTTATTCACTGGTTCTTAATACAATATTTTTATATTAGTCAATGAAACATTTACGAAGCACTCTTCAGGAAAAAAAATCTTCTCTTTTATTCTTAGTATAAATAATAATTTCAATATATTAATATAAAAAAAACAGACTACAGCCCAGATTATAATAGATGTCTAAATAATTTTATCTAAATATTACCATTACGCACCTTTACAACGCAAATTTAGGGAGGTGATTAAGGACTAAGGAGGGAAGGGTTTATATAATTATCAAGATCGTCGTTGGTCAGAACAGTGGGTCCTACAGAGCACTTAATTTACAAGATTATTAAATGGTCCTTTTGTATTATTATCTTGGTCTGTATAATTTAAAATTTGTTTTAATTATAAATAGATGAAAATAGCTGCAACTTGCAAGCTCTACTGTGACGCTTTTTCAGCCAACGGGAAGATAGCTTCATTATATGACTGTTCAGTTACGAGAGATTGCAATGTGAAACAAGTATTATACACACAAGGCTATAGAATTATCAGATGATTATGTCCTTTCTGTCACTTTCTACTAAAGATCCCTCCTCATTCTCATAAAATCTGACCTGGCACAGCCTTCCTCCAGCTTCATCAGCGAAAGCTATCTTTTTACTCTTATTATTATTGCGCACTCCATCTTGAGAAGCAGGGGGGCCTTCCTCAGCTAATTGCTGCAGTTAATTAGGGCAAACAATAATAATTATTAATAATTAAGTAAAAGTGTAAAAGGAAAGAGCAGCCGTAATTAAGATGTTCAAAATTAAGAGGATAATACTACAAGTACCAACCATTAGCTTGCAGAAACGGTTACAATCCCTTGACATGAAGGAAAGGGTCCGTTTTGCAGTTTCTTCAGCTCTTGTTGCATTCTTCACAGCCATTCTTGCCTGGAAATGTGAATAATTTTCAGAAATAGACATAATGAATCAGCGTTCTTGCACGGTTTTAGAATCCCGAAAAATATTTTAGGTTGCAAGAAACTGGTAAATTTTCGCAGTTCAGATTATGAAGAGCAAAAGTCACAAGCAGCATGATTTGCTTATACAGATGTGACAAAATGAGCGAAAAGCATGAGTGACAAAACATGCAAGGAAGGTAACATAGACCGCTAAAGAGGAATTTTAGACTTAAGCAGAGTTTGCGAGTATCAAGGGAAGTTGCACGCAAGGCTGATTCTGTACACGTCTTCAAGAATTCCAGTATTAGACTAATTTACTATCTGTTTATCTTAGGGTACACAAAGAAAATCAAACTTCTGATCTTCTGTTCAAACCTCCATCTACACCCACCACTGTAACTATTCCCAACTTACATAATCACTTGAGCTTAACCCAACTGGCGCCCAGCAATACTTAATGATTACGATCTCAGCACTCTAGTCACGAAGTTCCGCGCTTTTCTAGAGAAAGCAATAACATTATCCTTCATGTGGTCAACAAAATAAGAATATGTCTTTCTGCAGTCATGTGAGAGTGGAACTGCTCACCAGTTAATTAAAGCGCCATAGCGAAGAGTTTCATGTTACATTTCAATTATTAACACTTCCTATCATCCAGCACTTGGCTCCCCAGGTCTAAATAAGCTGAACTTGCTTTCCACATTTTTTACTGTATGTTAAGCTAGTAGACTATATAACAGGCTTCAGTGGTATATTCATCCTTTCCATCTTCACCATAGACCTCAGTATCAGTCACAAGCTAATAAAGGTGCTATAAATATAATCATACCTCATTTACTTTATATCTCAAAGGTGTGGTCAGACATAATTCAGAGCGTAACATAGCCCCCATAATGTCCTTCATTGACTTCAATTCATTTGCTAGTTTCATTGCAAGGCATTCAACATCCTGCATCTGCCTCTTGGAAAATGAAATCGCATTCTTTGCGCAACTCTGCATGGATGTGAGCCCAGTGCTGAGGCTGTTTGCTGAACGCGAAGGAAGAGAACTCTTTTGAACAGCTTGTGGACGGGTAACTCTTTTAAGAGGCTTTGGTATCTTACGAATTTTGTTACAATGTTTAGTAAATCGAGCTCCAACAATCTCATCAAGTTCTTCAGTAGTGTCTTTCTTCTCATCATCAGTCTGCTCGCCGAAGAACAATTTCCCTTTACATGCTGAAACCATAAACACGCAATAGAAATGAACACAATGTAGGAAAAGAATTGTGTTTGGAACTGCTAAATCCAACTTCGCACCACAGCACTAATGAACATACAAGCAAAACCCACAACCAGATAAGTAGAAAACAAAGTTATATTTAACTGCAATCATTTCGTTTGAGGTTCCCGAAAAGGAAATTTTTAACTCAGAAAACTTAGGAAATGCATATTTTATTTCCTTGAGATCTCAACAAAAGCTATTTGAGTTATTTAACGTCACGAAAACAAATCTTGTTTCAGGCACTGCCAATCACATTGTTTAACCTTCTTCTTTTTTTTCGAATGAGATTGTTTAACCTTCTTTCGTCAAGCACTAATCGTATATAGCCTACTTACTATGAAGCCACCATATTTCTCTTTTGACATGATATCTAGCCTCTGGTGGCTTATGTTTCTTTCCATGTATCTGGAGTTTATAGTTTGTAAGTGAGACTGAAGCATAAAATCCCTGCACATGCTGAAATTTAGGCACTTACTTGTATATTCTTTGTCATGTAAATCAATGGACTGCATGGCTTTGCAGAGCTTAACTTGTGAAGACGGCGAAATGGTCTGAAACGAACCAAACTAATGAGATGCAGCAGCAACACAAGTAAAAAACAAAAGGATATCTGGAATCACGTATTTCACCTTTCTGCCTGATAACAGCCTTTGAGGACGATGCACCTTTGAACTGCTTTGATGGCTCTCCCATGATATTGACTCATCAGTAGCTCCACTGGCATGCCTTTCCTCATCAAAACTTGCGGAAGTAAGCAATTGCTTCTCCTCTGATACAGGTGAATCATCTGAGCTGCAATTCTGAGATTCATCCGGTGAACCATCTGAGCCAGAATTCCGGGATCCATCAGGATGACAGCCAAGTTCACTGACCGATGTGTATTCATCTTTACTGCAGTCACTAAAGAAGGCATCGTCACCTCCATTACCTAGATCCAGACCTTGAATAACTTCATTAGCAATGAGTGGTGTGACTGCGATGTAGCTGTCAGGTTGATTAGAACAGATATCGGTGTCTTGATCTTTATCCAAATTGATTGTTTGCGGGCAGATTGAATGGAGAGCTGGTTGCATGGTAAATTCTTCACTTCCTTCATTTCTAAATTCTATTGCAAGCAAGTTTTGAGATTGATCATTGCTCAGATTTGAATCACTAATCGAGACATCAGCGTTGGAGCCCCATACAATTCGAAGTGGAATAACATCAGCATGCTCTTTCCAATCATAATCTAATTCACGGCCCAAAACACATTCTCTGGCCGTCTCAGGCTCTTCTATGGCTACTATTCCAAGAGAGTCCTCAGGCCAGCAACAAGCTTGAAAATTATTACTAGTATTGTGTAACATTCTCCAGGGATCTGACCAATCACTTTCAGGAACCTCAGCCTTCACTTCAACAAGTGCAGTTGAATTCTCACTTGGTGACAAGGATTCTTGACTATCTTGGATCACTTCAGATTTTACAAAACATACAACATCTTGTTTAACAGTAGACACTTGGTCATTTATGCATTTCCTTTTCTTGGCCTTCTTATTCTTTGATAACTTGGATCTCCAGCTACTGAGAGTCTCCATGAATTCAGAATCATCTGATGCCATATGATTCTCACTGCAGCGTTCTTCAGATGAGGAAGCTTCAGTTTTTATTTTCCTTTCGGATGTGTCAAGATCTTGTGATTGTTTCCTCTTCCTTGATTTGCACCTCTCTTGGATTTGCTTTAGAGTAAGGTTGCCAAAATTACAGTCTTCCAAGACATTCTCCTCATCATCGCCATCATTGGCGCTGCATGCATCAGCGTCAGATTCAGCATTTACCGTTCTTCTCTCCGCTTCGAAAGTGCACGACCTTTCAACCTTTACATTATTGTCAAACATGGAAGTGCCATATATATCTATGACTTTCTTAAATGAAAGTTTTGGCCTGCCACGAGTAACATTAAGGGTTTTCACAATTGAACCACCTTGAATAGCCTGGATGAAGTGCAGATGACCACAACTTCGTAACTCCATATGGATGCTATTTACGATCCTTGAACTACTACTTCAGTATACCGGGGAAGAAATCCTTAGCCTGCACGGACGTGGAAAAAACCAAATTCGCTCAAACGATCAACTAGAAAATACAAGCCTAACATAAAGTTGTAAAATTAGAACATGGCAAACATAAAGAAGAGAGAAAATGAGGGAAGGATCATGGCCTATATTATCAGGCAAGAACAATACGATAAGCATGAGAAAACATTCTTACAAAAGTAAAGGGTTAAAAGCGAAAGAAATACAACATTCAACCAGAAAGGGAGAATCTCGCTCATGCTAAATCGAAGAAGTACACTCAAACTAATTTATCACTGAGATTTTATTCTGCTTAAATGGAAATACAGCCGATGTCGAATGCAAGGACATCCTCTAAAGGGCCCTGGCGGCACCTGCATTTCGTTAAATAGGGCGAAGATCCGAAGGAAACATGAAGCCACAAATCTCCCTCTATACAGGTCGGAGATTGAATTACTTTCATGACAACTGGACCTTTCTACTAGCATTTTCGAAGTCAGGGTTATTTGAGCACAGCATTGAAAGTCTCTAGAAACGAACTCAGATTTCTAAGTAAAAGACAAAGATTCAACGGTAATGACAGCCTGCAGTGTTAAAGTTAAAGAAATTCAGTCAAGCAATGTGATTCGATAGATAATACTCACATAGAAAGAACAACAAAACCTTCTCAAAATACAATTTAAGTAGAACATATCATGCTCGAATTGGATCTCCTATAGTACCAAGCACATCTATTCGAATTTGCAAAGCATAAATAAGATCACGGATCATAAAAAAATGAAACCAACCAAACAGAACCAAACCGAGTGGTACCCTGCAATGCTGGTGGATGCGGGTGGTGTGAGCAATTTATCTCAGAGATCGATGAGAGCAGCAGGTGGCGCCATCGAAGGAGATCAGAGAAGCTACGAAGACGCTGGGGAGTCAAGAAGGTTCTAGACGACCACGGTCGCCTGAAAGTGGTGATCGAGAGGAAGCGAGAGATCGAGAAGAGAACTCGACCGTAGAGCAAGGAGATGTGGAGGGAAGACGAGTTGCAGCGGAAGCATGGGTTGTATAGGGTTTCAGATCTGAAATCTAAAACGCGGGAAAAAGCCTTCCCGCCATCAAACAAGTTTTTTTTTTTTTTTAACACCCTTCACCTCTTTTTTTATAAAAAAAATAAAATATATATTTGGTCTTTTAATTTTGTACAAAGTTTCACTTTGTCCCTTAACTTTAAAAATTATATTTTTAATCTTTTAACTTTATTTTTTTTTTTGAAAAATAATGACATTAAGATATAAATATTGATAAAATATTTTCAAATACTAACATATTAAGTTTAATTTTCAAAACATCCATAATTGTTATAAAAAATCATGATTAAAACTTAATAATTTTAGAGTTAAAGAACTAAATGTATGCTTTTTAAAATTAAAAGACTAAATTAAAACATTGTACAAAATTAAAAGATCAAATGTATACTTTAACCTTGTAAAAACTTATAAAAACGGTTTTTATACTGTCTTTGGGCTCTTGGCAAGGTAAAAAGGTGCACGATTGACTGTCTTGACATTGGTTTCAATAGATCTTTATGGCCTTGGCTTTCTTTTTTTGCTTTCCTTCTTCAAGGTTATCGGCACACTCTGTGCGGTCAATAAGACCACTTCATCTCCTCAACAAGGTCTTGTAGAGACCTTTTTCAATAGCTTAAAAGCTATCGATGTCGTGAGCCCCCGATATGAATTGGTGATCTGTGGCGTCCTCCCATGTCCTTTGTTTTATTAATATCACTGAGTAATACTCCTCTAGTTCTAAATATAATACTACCTCCGATCCTAATTATAAGACCCAATTGACTAATTTGAGGAGATTAAGAAAAGAAGTTAAGTTAGTTATTTATAATAAATAGGTGTTGTCTTTCCTAAAATATCCTTACTAATCAACTATATTAGCTAAAACTATAATTATTAGAAGGACTACTTTGGGAAAAAATGCATAAATATGAGAGACAAAGTGGATTGGGGTTTTATATTTAAAACCAAAATAAAAGTCAAACAGGGCTTTATATTAAGGATCGGAAGTAGTATATATATAAAGGTCTTATGTTTAAAAGCGGAGGAGTATCTATTTTTGCACTTTAGGGCTTTGAGCAATGCCAGGTTTGATGGCATTACCATGGGTTCGAGACGAGACTCAAGCTTTGGCTAATCTTCAAAGTTCTTACTGTCATGTCTGTTTTTTCTGTTTCTTTTGCAATCTATTGTTTTCTTATTTTAGTGATGAGCCGGCCTTTTGCTCAGGTTTATTTGGGCTTTGCTCAAATTAGTCATGTGTTGTGGGCCAACTTTTTATGTGTAATCTTTTTATTGAATAAAATTGTCTTTAGTTTTTTTTTTAAAAATGTAGCTTTCAATAGTTATTATGTAATATAAGTATGCATGCATACCAAAAAACACGGATATAAAAAACATTAATGTGTGATATAGCTTTAAAAAATGGAGAAAAATGTGTCAATGCAAACCAATGAACAAAATCACAAACACTCCATCCAACCATTCTAAATAGAGTAGTAACTAATTTAAGAAAATTAATTAAATTAATCATTTATAAAAAAAAACCAATTATCTTATAACAAATATTCCGTTCTATTTACTTGTTTACTCCGATTTTACTCATCAAAATGAATCGCAAGAGACCCATAGTAGTTGGCCCGTGGAGTCGGATTTTACTTGTTTATATTTAATAAACTAATTTGAATTAGAATATATAATTTGTAATCTGTTTACATTTAAATTTCAAATGGCTTTAAAAAAATCAAAACTTAAGTTATTTAACGTAAATTTAAGCAATTTATAATTTTAACAATTAATTCTATTTTTACATGAAAAACAATTAGATATAAATAAAATCTATATCTATATCTATAATTGTAGTAAAATTTAATGTCCACCTTCGACTTCTTTTCCTTATCTCAGTAGATATCCATGCAGAACTGTTTAAGACGAACATTATCCCCGACACGCCCCAAGGACCAACCATTTTGCTGGGACTTGAACCGAACCCCTCAACTTTTTTCATGAAGATAAAGTGAAGAAATTTGGACAGACAAAATAATTAACAGGTAAGGTAAATTAAACATAAAATCGGACAGTAACTTTTGAATCAAATCTACATACTCTTAATTTATATTCCCATCACTATATCCATCTTCCATGGTGATTCAGAGTACTATTTATACTGCTAAGGTTACAACATTCAGTAATGCACATGTAAAAACTTCATCTTTCAATGTACAAAACAACAAGAGAAGGGTATCAGATGCCCGTTTGGAATTGGAAACCAAGCATGATCCAAGAAGAATGTACACTTGATGAAATTGATGGTGTGTATATATCACCTGTCATGGCTACTTAGGAATTCAATTATACAGGGATACACCTGCTTCACTGCCTGCAACCAGAAATGCATAGAATAGGCATCAGAAGGAAATCAGTAGTATATATAAAAACAACTAAACAGTATTTGATACCTTTAACAATTGAATGACACGTGGAAACTGCTACAACAACAACAATAACAAGGCTTTATCCCTCTAGATGGCATCAACATGGGAACCAATTACAACAACAAATATTATCCTACTAGGTGGGGTTACTTACATGAATTATACAACGCTGTTGTGCTCTATTAAGAACCAAATCTTTAGATATGACATAGGAACCGATTAAAAGATATTAAATATTTAGGAGAGTTTTGGTTAAGAAAAGAGCACCCTATTTCTAGGGATTACGAAAATAAGAAATTGTAGGAGGTTAAAAAGACTAGGTGGGTGCAGCGTATCTAGAGTAATTAAGAGAAGGATACATAAAGTTGAGAGGGCAGTGATTATAAGCAATAATATTCTCAATAACATGTTTGTTTTCCTCTCATTTGCCCCTGTAAGCTTTGCTCTTTACTACCCTCCCAGCGCGGTATCAAAAGCCTAAATACCATCCACCTTCTAACCTCACCCATACTTCCACCAGGCAAATGGTGCAGGCGACAATTGAAATAGTTTTCACATGAATCCACAGCCAAATTCTCAGCAATAGTTTTCCATGTTTAAAAATAGAAGGGCCAATAATAATCAACTAGGAAGCGTTTCATACCAGTCTCCCTCCAACCAAATCATAATGAGCATAATGTGGACCACCAGCTTCACCAAATACTTTATAGGTGACCAAGTGCTGAGGAATCAGCTTAACGGTTTCTGGGTCACAAAAAGCCTCGATAAGAATCTTTACTTCTTGAAAACAGCAGGCATTTACGTAAACGATCTAGAATTTTAAAATACCTTCCACAGCTTCGGGTGGGCAAATAAGATCCTGGTCCCCAGCAATTGCTAAGACAGGGACATTGCTTTTGTGTAGATGATCTTTGTAGAAGAAAGTCCCATCCCTGTTGCATAAACCACGGTCTCGGAATGCAGTTGTGAGCTGCAGGATAAGTTTAGCAGGTATGGTACCTGCCAATCGAGGCCATATCAAATGAAGTTCAGTTGCGCTAAGCCATTCATGAATCAGACTCTCAACAACAGAGAGCATAACTAAAACACACTTGAATGAGTTTAACCAACACCAAGTTCTTGAACAGTCAGCATATAATTTGTTCAACTAAAGAATAAACGCCAGAGAACACTATACTTTCTATCTTCTTCTAAACAAATTAATTTTTCAGCCAATACTTCAATTCAAACTCGGGGAAAACATAATAACCGGCATGCGCATTCAAGAGTTCCACAGCATTGCAGGTCCATTAATGATTAATCATTCTAAATTTACTAAGACCACCATCCCTTGCTCACCACATTTAGCATCAGTTGTTATCTCCACATAGGTATCAAGGAAAGAATATAAATCAATTAACGTGCTAAAGTATCTTTTAGGTCCGTAAAATTCATCTAGCATAAGATCTGACAATCTCCCTTTCTTTTTAGGGTGGGGGGCGGTGGCAAAAGTTCTCAAGGGATTTGCGATTGCCACGCTTCTCCTCAAATCGTTCCCCTTTGGAAGTCAATTCATTCATTTTCACCTTTAAACCGCAAAAACGATCAGAATATAATTTAATCTTCACACATTCAGGCCAATCACCAATTGTCAAGCAATTGGCTCTCAGCTACAGCTCCTATAAAATGGCGAGTTTCACAAAGAAAAGAGCATTTCAATAATCACTGAAGCAAAGAACAAGCATTTTTCATTTTCAAACAGCAATGCAACATGGAGCGGTGGAGGCCAATATCTATGTCAATGTACAGGGGGGTGTGTCGCTTGCTTCTTCTTCTTCTTCTTCTTCTTCCCTTTTTTTTTTTAGGGGGAGTGGGGTTTGGGGAGCTAAAAATTAGAGTTGGCCACTCAACCTTTGCCTAAAGGAAACCCTGTTTCCAATCCTTAGCGCCCTATTTCTATAGTTGACAATTGAAATTCAACTGTGATGCCAAAGTCTACACTAAGTGTACGAAAAGGTTTTACAAGTCAGAAGATATTATATGAGTCAATTTGATGTTTACTCTTTACAGTGGACCTAAAATATTGCCCTTAATAAAACTGGACAAAAAGAAAAGAAAAGAAAAGAAAATAAAGGGGCTGCTAGATAAGTAAGACAGCCATGGAAAGCATGCTGGATGGTCAGTGATAGATATCATTTTTGCATTTATTGTTCATCAAAATAGAGTCGTTTTGGTTTCCACTGGATCAAGCAAGTGCAAGTACTGGCCATAAATTATCTTGATGGAGAGACTAACCAAAGATTAAAAAGTTTACACAAGAAAGGTGGATGATGTACAGAAAACATCTCTCAAACCTCTAGACAATCAATTTATTGATTAATAATTAATCACAGTATTTCTTACAGTTTCATACCAGATGAGTATTTTTACTTTTATTACTTTCAGAAATTCTAAACAAACTCAGCTTAATGTTCTTCTAATAGAAGGGATTATGCCTTGTAAGTAATAAATGTGC